TGTTGTTTAACGTCCCTCTCGGGAATATTTCACTCATATGGAGACACCACCACTTGCCGGTGGAGGGCTACAAATTTTGTCCTATGCTCGGCACTCAGGGCCTTTGAGCAGTGAGGGATCTTTTTCGTGCCAGCATGCGACACGGGGCCTCAGTTTATACGATCTCATGAGTCTCCACGTATTTCGAACCCGCGACGAAAGGAACTAGCCGACACTCTAACCACTGCAACACGCGGGCGACAACAACCCCATATGATTGTAATGTCCAAAGATTTTGGAGATTTTTATTATCAGATGTTTTCGCCCCCAAAATAGTATGGTGTCTACCGCACTTTATTTAAAAATAGAGTGGACAGTTTTGGATACCCTCTTCTTCAGGGTAAAATCCCTTGTTCTGCAAAATGGGTAGATTTTGTCCAGTTTTTTTTTAGTTCAGATCCCCATTCCTTGAATTTGCAGTTATTGAATGTATAGACTAAATCAAGTAAAAGTGACCCCCTTTTTAAAGAACACCGATGTGTTAAATTGGAATGGATTTATAGCTATGAAGCTCTGGAAGTCAACGATACTTGGTTTAATATATTCATTTTAAAACTATACAAATTCCAGGGAGTTCCTGATCCAAGAAGTCGACGACTATATACCCTATCTGACTCAAGAAGTCAACGACTATATATTATATATATACCCTATCTACTCTGAAAATGTATAAATTAGAAAATATCAATATGTGTTGGTTATTTCAAAAAAATTATATATCAAGAAAAAAGGCCTTGATCCTTTCATTGGCGGATGCAGAAAGGGGGTCCGGTGGTTGTGTCATGTTGTAAATTTTGAATTTACCGGGTGGCAGTAAATACAAAATTTACAACATGACAACTTTGAATTTACTGGGTGGCAGTAAATACAAAATTTACAACATGACAACTTTGTCATGTTGTAAATTTTGTATTTACTGCCACCCGGTAAATTCAAAATTTACAACATGACAGTTGGACCCCCTTTATATTTGTACACACACACACACAGATACAGAGAGAGACATTTTTTCTGTAATATGGATATTTACATGAATATGTCTAATAATTTGAAAATATGAAAAATCTCTGTCCTTTCTGCTCGCTAGATCTGTAAATTTTCGCGCATTTGCTTTAAATTCCGTCGTGTACCTTCACAACCCCGGCAAAGGGCTCCGAAACACTGTACCATCGGCTCATATACATTCACGTGTCAGCATGAGAGAGGAACAAACGACAAATCTACATGGGAGATTTGCTCCAAACATCCACAAGTAACATGCAAGGAAGATTCCAGAATATATACCAGTTTTGGACCATCTTCAGAAGTACCCGTAAATAACGTTTAGAAGTATGCATAAAATAAAAACTTTTGAAATGTTCCCGTAGTATGCCGATGGAGGGGACTCCTTTTTTCTAAGAATAATATCTTGCTGTGGTTTTACTAAATATGTTTAATCAATGAAGAAAAACGTTTAAAAATTAAATTTTTGCTGCTCCCTTTTTCTGAGAATAATCTCTTGTTATGGTTTTACTTAATATTTGATTTGGAAGTTCCCTCCACATTTTTTGTTGTCGAAAAATACGCAGATTCAAACATTTGAAAGTAATGTACCGGAATACCCCGCCACAGAGATTTAAAAGTGTGCTTTATAGTCTTTTTTTTTAAGGTTGCATGTCAAATGTTCTTGGAGGTCCCCCTTCTTATAAATGTAGCTTGAATTGGCCGTGATGTAATGTAATTCTATGCATGAGTGCTGGGGGCACCGACCCCCCCCCCCCCCCCCCCTTCAAAAATTGCTGGATCCGCACCATGCATTTTGATTATTCATATATAGGCCATCACCTGAGATTAACTTTCTTCACTGTTAAAATAAATTAAAAACACGGACATTCTTTAAAGAGAGAATAAAAAAAGAAGAATGCAATACACACTGTATTAAAATTAAGTATAAGACCAGACCTATATACAAAACGTAAATGACAACAAAAATGCAGAGGTATAGAGTTTAAAAGTATACCATTTAGAGTAAATCCTTTTTAGTCTCTCTTCCAATATTTTTTAATAGAAGTCACTGTTGAAAGAAGCATAGTACGATGTGTAACAATTTTGTTAAACATCTATACCTTTCCCCTCTAAATTCAAGATACACTGTAAAGACCGTGAATTAATTGTTCTTCATATTCGCGGCAGAACTGTAGCTCTCTGCTCGAGAAAATTCGCACAGTTAAAACGGAGAGGTACAGTTCTGGAGCTAGCCTCATATAAATAAGAAGGTGAAAATGGTACAGGATCATTTATGATTATTTTTTAAATGTTACAATTTTTAGCGCTTTTTAAAAACGGAACTGTTAAATATAGTATGTTTCATCTGATCGTAAACAACCATCAAAAAGACAAACTAAAACTCAACTAAAACTAAATGTAAAAAAAAAAAAAAACTGAAATGCTGAATAAACAAACGATTGGGAGTCAACATGGTAAACACTTAGATTGACAGAAATACCTGCAATGTACCGGTAAGCTGCAAAAGAAAAGGTACGTTCTTTCATTGTGCATAAAATTAATTACACTACGTGTTTCGAGGTAATCTCATCATAAGTCTATGTATATCTATTAATTAACATTTTATAAAATTGGATTACACTGTCCAAAGTATGTTACATATGAAACCTCAACATTCCTTGGGGGTTAGCTATTTCGGACTATTGTAGCCGAAAGGTGCATGGGCCGGGGTAGAGAATAAGATATTGGTACCCAAAGCGTCATAGACGACCGAACTCACAGACAGACGGACCCCCCATTACTTATATATGCCCTTCCATTTTTAAAAATTATCATACTGTTGTTTTGCATGCCTGTGTAATAGGTCCAGCACATACCTTTACCTTTTGTAGAGCTCTACATATTCCATGACGTAACAATACAATGATACGTCATTTTTTCTTCCTAAACCCAAGATTTGCACCCTAAAATGCGTCTCTTAACTGACAGTGAAATGACATAAGCGGACCTAAAATCTTCAATCTTTTTCGTTTCATTTAAGCACTGAAACATTGTAGTATCGTAAACATTCTGTTATATGTGTCCACTATCATCAAGGGGTGTCTCCCTACACTTCCAGATTTTTATTCCTCTATCAAAATTTTTTTTAGAATAATTATTACATCTGAACATAAACTATACCTTCACCAGGAAAAACACTAAATTCAACATTGAAACGAACAAACAGTTTTGTGAACAATTAGAGAGACAGAGTTATATACCTGTGATGTACAACGTAAAGCTGCAAAAGAAAGGTACATTAATATTGTGGATTAATACTAATTCATACGTGTTTTGAAGTAATCTCGTCACAAGTCTTTATGTATATCTATTAATTAACATTTAATAAAATATTGGATAACACTGTCCAAAGTATGTTACAAATGAAACCCCAATATTCCTTTTACACAATGCAGGGGCGGTCGGATCAAACTCGTCTTTTTCCGTATCGGAGATCAAGACCCGAAGAGGATTTCGGAAATAGCCGAGTAGCTACGATTGAATACGAATGAATCTGACGTCACAGCGGAAGTGACGCCGAGCTGTGTCTGCACTGGCTGTGTTGAGATCGAAGGAGGCTGCATATCTTCGTGTTTCTCCGCGTTTTAAAGCATGTTTTCCTATTGCTAACACATCTTTATCTACTGCAGCATTTTCTTGGCAATGTTAACGCGAAGGATGGGATTTTTCGAATGCAAACTGCAAGGTTAGTGAAAATATTGGAGAGAACGAAATAACCCGATCTTCCTCGGCGTTTGAGACAATGAGTGTGAAATACGTTACGAGTTACGAAATTTACGCAAGCTGGTGAGGATTCTGGAAACTTTTGAGAGTATTTACTGAACATTATTCAGGACTGGATGTTAATTTGAACGTTTTTAATCAAAATCTACGATTAGAAAGTAGCCAGGCATGCGCAGTAGGGGTTAGTTGTGCCTGGCATGACTAACCCCATTTACGCGTGCGCTAACTAACCCTGCTGAGACTGACAAAAAACTGACTAAGCCTTGACTTTAGGCAAAGTCCAAAAAATAAAATGCATGCAAAAAAAAAAAAAAAAAAAAGAACACCAGCACAAACAACATTCCAGAAACAAATAAAATGATTTAAAACAAAATAATTATAAAATAAATAGAAAAAAACTTAAATTCTAAAACTTTTAACTAAACTAAATTTTAATAGAAATGTTCATGTTAGTTGACTAAGTTAGTCAAACTAAGACAATTTGCAATGGAAATTCTTGTTAGTTGTCTAAGTTAGTCTAACTAAGGGATTTTTTCTTGAAAACCCCAAATTCCAATGTCAGAATAATTCCAATTTTAAATAATACACTGTTTTAGGAATAACTACTTCTAAGTGCATGTTTTCACAAAAAAAATATTCTTTACTCAAAAAAAAAAAAAAAATTGAATAAGATGGTTTATTTCCCATTATGCTTTCCACTATCAATGATACTATAGCGGGTCTTCTTGGCTGGTATAAAATTTGGCGTTTTGCCTGCTCAAAGGTATGCCAATAATTTTAACAAAATGCACAGGGTTTGGAAATTACTATAAGAAGGTACTGAAAATTTTAGCGATTAAAATTTTAGTGGGTACCATCAAAACGCCAAAGTAAGCCAAAATTAACACGCTATACAATAATTAATGGCTATTCTTAAATTTTTTTGGGTCATTTAAAGTGTCTATTCAATCAGATCATAAAAATGGACAAATCCCCAAATTCCAATATATTCATACCTGTATATGGTGAATTCAGGATACAGTATTTTAAATAATAGCAGGTTTTCACTAGTATAGTAACAAGCATATAGAGTCATGCTGCAGAGTAAAACACTTCTAATCATATATACTATATGTGTGAAATATATATCTAGTACAAACAACTGTGTGATGCTTAAAAATACAGAGTCTAAAGAGTTTGGCACAGAATGATACCTTGTGCTGTGGATATGTTTCTTCTATCCTCTGAAAAGGTTTATACATTAAATAAATATCACACATGTCAACACATTCAGAAAATATATTCATTATTACAAACATCAAAATACTTTTTCAACAAAGATTTCACACAGTTTTATAAAAATGTATATATTATATACTCATAAGTTAATAACACTTAAAAGATGTAGACAGTCATGGAGGCATTAACACACAGTCAAGATAAAGTATGAGAAACATTTCAACATTGAGAATAAAATGATGCATTGTAAACTGAAGAACATTGAATTTTAATATCAACAGTGAAACAATTTACGAAAATGTTTACATTTTTAAACTTTAAAAACCATTAAATAAGCCTACAAAGCAAAAGCTTTCTATTATATATGTCATCTAATGCTGTTTACTACCAATAGGTAAATAAAATGTACAAAAACATGTAAATTTAAATTCTGTTTTCAAAAAATTAGCTGTTAATCTAGGAACTGTGGTAAAAAAAATAATGTGACTATAGAGGAAAAACGGGTATAGTACAAACCAGGACAAGTTGAAGAACATTTGTTTCAAATGTTTATGATAAACATTGTTAGTATTAAATAATAAAATATAGATGTCATACCCAAATATATAATTTTAAACTTAAGTAAATAAAACAGAATTTTGTTATGAAATAGCCAACTGATTCTAAATTTTGAAAATTAGTGTGTCAATGGCAAATTCCTTCAAAATATGTAATCTGAGTATATATACAGCTGACTATGAAATCAAAAGAAAGCACTTCCTTTATGTATAAATCCTGAAATAAATTTTGATTCTCGGTGGAGCAGAATCTCAGACAGGCACACAGCAGGGTGATGGTGTATATAGAGTCTTATGATTTACCATGTTTATGCCAATGACCCAGAGGGAATATTTCACTCACATTCAGAAAATCTGTCCATATTAATTGGGAAAAAAATTAAAAGTAATAAATCTACCGGTACATGTGGTTATTAAAGAATCAAGTGCAATTAAGTTATCAGAGAAAGGGGCTTTTCTGCAAAAACTTAATATTGAAACCTTTGCCATCTAAATAACCCTCAAAATAATTTGAACAGACACTTCTATACTAATAAAATTGTATCTATTCCAAGAATTATATTTTGTTTTTGCAAAATATGACCTTTTAAATTTATTGTTTTCAGGTAACATTCTAAATGACATTAGTTTTTTAATCATAGGTCAGAAAATAAATAAAGCTATGAGTACATATTCATTAATTACATTCATCACTGTTCTTTCCATTTATAATTATACATTTATCAAATTATTTTTTAAATAATTCTACAATTTTGATTTTTTTTTCCCTTTTTTCCTGAATAAACTTCTATTAAAAGGGGAAAAAATGTAAAATGTAAAAATTTTCTCTATGCGGTACGTTTGAAACATGAAAAATAATGAATTATAGTTGAAATTAACTTTAACACAACCCCCAAGCCCACCCACATCCCAAAAAAGAAGCTGTTGAATGGAATTGCAAATATTTTCCATTGTGTTCAATTTGGGTATTGTTTTGTAAAGCAAATACTTAGGTATAGATCCCAAAGTATTAATGTCACATTTGCAATAAAATCTTTAAAAAGATTTGTATCAATTCTTGTGTTGATTAATATTTTATTTAGATATACGCAACACTATTTAAAAAACACAATGTTGGGTTTCATCTATTGCTGCACTGCAATTATGACATTATGACTTTTTATCTCTGACACTCATTTTGAATATGATGATCCGATCTTTAGATTTAAAAGGAATAAATTCAGTAATAACATATGGAAAAAGTTCAAATACAGGTAATTTCAATACTTAACAATATAAATCAAGATAATTTATAGTAAAATAGCAGTTTTAATTTTAGATTATTAAAAAGAAGCAAATGAGAGGTTAGAAAGATATGTAGGTGATTAGAAAATGAGTGCAGAAAAGGAACATCGCACACCATGTCAGTCCCAATCTTGTCCCTTTAGAAAATAATACTGCGTTTATCTTTATTTCAAAAAGTATTTTATATACACTACATAATCAAATGAAATTTTAAGGCAATAATGAAATACATAGGGACATAATTATGAATATCAAATTTTTTAGACAACATCAAATTTTTAAAGATTTTATAACAGTGGCATTACTTTTGGATCAACTCTCATTATTACTCATTAGAAAGGAATTGATTTACATATGGTCATATGTTAAATACTAGTGAGTAGGCCATTATATTTTAAAATGTTTCTTGAAAACAAGACCTTTCTTTACTTGGAAGATAATTTATGTAATGTTTATGAGATGTTTGTTAGAAATGGTTTTTTTTTTCACAAATCCAGAACATTTTTTACTTTAAGGTCATATAATTAAATAATAATCATTAATCAACAGATAAGTTTAAAATATATAGGGCATGGCAAAAGTTCAGAGAATGAATATAAATGACCATTGTATATAATACTATCAATCATAGAATTTCATCTCCAGTTCATCTCCAGTACGGATTTCCATTTCACACCCTGTATAACTCCATATTAGGTCACTAACTGACTGTGTAACTAATAGTATTATTCTAAAAAAAAAACATGCTAAGCTAATCAATATCCTGGTTTTCTTTGCTAAATAATTAATTATTTCAGTCAACTAGCACTTATGTTTCTGCTAATTTACAGTAGGAATAAAAAAAAGTAACTCAGTTGGTGGATCTAAGATTATGAAAGAAGATGAGAGGCAACTTTTAATATCAATTAAATACTCAACAAAAACTTAATCAAGACTTTTTATTTGAATTTTAGAGAGGGGACTTAAATCCACCACTGAAAGAATCATATTTTTTAAATATATAAGCACACAGTAGAACTTGGAAAACTATAGTACAGCAGCATAAACAATCTGAATATATTTCAAAAGCAATCAAGGGTGATAACTCTGATTGTGGCTTAGGCTAAAAGGGATAATGTCCCTTGGTATACCTGAATGTGAAGAGGGGGTGTAGACATCATAGTGAAACATCCTTTGATACTGAACTAAGATGTCTTCAGATTTCAGCTGAAATTTGGGAGGTTGCTCCAGAGCAACCTCGTGCAAAGTAGGGAAGTTACCTACATTTTGTGACATATCTCCTGAAATATGATTATTTGCTGAAACAAACAAAATTTTAGGGGTAATTAGTAACTTATGTGACATTACGCATGTTTACATGAAGTTAATCGTACAATTGTTGTAAATAAAATGAAATTTACCAAGGGCATCTAAATGCTATAGTATACACAATTCAGTCTGCTTAATGATTAAATGACATATACATGTACTAAGATAATAAAGGACTTCTTTCTACATCTAAACTATACATTTAACACCATGCATGCTTATTTTATTCTCCTTATAAACTCTTTATATATACTCCATGTTACATATAAATGTTCTCCATATTCCAGGCATGCAGAAATACACAGAATTCTACTAATTTTAACTAATTTAGGTGATTACTGTGGCTAAAGTTACAAGGGAAGAAAGCCTTTCGTAAAATATAATCTACATACTATATAAAGTTTAGTATTGCTATAATCCTTGTGAGATTTAACCCTTTCCAGCAATTATATTTTGTTTGATCCAAGGATTCACATATCACATGAAATATATGAATTAGATAATTGTAAGAAAATTTGAACCCATTAGTAGTTAAATGTATAAAATGAAGTAAATAGTCAGGTACTTCCAAATAATATAAACTATTCTACTCACGTAATCATTGACTTTCATTACATTTTTTCAAAAAGTGGTCAACAAAAACAAAATGTACCGGTAATAATTGCACAAAATGTAAGACATGCTTTCATTTTTTTTCTACTTGTAAATAATTTTTGTAATTTTCTAATAAAATCACTCATCCAATGAATATTTCTGATAAATGTACATGTATGTATTCCAAGTAATATGATCTTTAAAAATGACTTTCAGCATTCCAGTCCCATTACTAATAAGATTGGATATATATTAGTACATTGCTATATCTGAATACAGAACATGCTGTAATAAAGATTAGTACAAACCTTTGTCTCACCCCACCCAATGTGTACAAAGCACATGGTCACATCTGACACTGAAGTATTATAAGGATATTCAAAATATTTCTTTTTTTTTTTTTTTTTATAAATGTTTTCTTTGTAAAATTTGTTTAAAATTCTGGCAACTATTTTTCTTTCTATGGTCCTACAATGGGAGCAAAACACTAAACTATGTAAAAAATATGAATTCACATTTAGTCACACACAATACTGAATTAAATAACAGCCATGCAACAACATCAACAGGCCAGTCTGTGCTAGCAACCCCCTGGGAACCCCTGCAAAATGTAACCATAAAAACCCCTTTAGGGTGCCTCTGATAACCTATTTTTAGCAAAAAATGCACAGTCTGCCTTTGGCCACCAAGTCTTACATTGAAATGTTAGCAGAGAAAGACGACTGGAACAAAAGAAGAGGAATACACATTTACAGACTGAACTTCATTGGTTTAAAGTTAAAACATGCATTAATGTTAAATATATGAACATTTCAAAGCAGACATAGGACATTTAAAATTAAAACATTTCATGGGAACATAAATCAGTTCAAGACTTTTATAGGGAAGGTACATAAAACAATTTTTTATATAAACATATTATCAATGGAATTATTATGTAAATGACAAGGCAAGAATTTTTTGTTTTCAAAATAAACATGATAAATGTAAAGCATTTCCCATTTACCCACATTCTATTAAATAACTTAGTTGTTTGAATACGATTATATAAAGATCACATTAAAATGACAACCACACATTAAAAAATAAATTATAAACTCATTAATTTGACATTAATTTTGCACTTAAATTTGCATTCTCAGTTAATATTCCAAACCATACTGTTTTAATATTGACAGAAATAAGCTAGTTCACTCTTCCTTTTTTTTAGCTACTTACTCGCGCAACTTGGTTTTCGGTAAACTATTTTTCTTTTTGAAGCTACACATACATAAAAGTACACTTTATAAAATGTCAGTTCTGTGTTTCAGTTCTATTGTTGTCTCTTAGCAAACATTGACTACCAGTATGAACAGTAGATTCTTCCACAATTTTAATTTGATTCTGTATACTTGTATTGCAGTGCTTATAATTGGACCCAATTTCTTACCTTCATGCTCTGCCCTAAGTCTCTGTAATCTCTCAGCTTCTTCAATGGCAGCTAGCTCTGCAGATAATTGAAGAAATATTTACATATTCAGCATAATTTTCAATAATGGAGAAAAACAATACATTGTAATTTTCTTTTTTAATTGCAGAACTAAAGACTGGCATATTCAGAGAATACAGTCATTCATGTGGATTTTATTCAGGAGTTTCTATAGCTCTGAGGATTTACCATATACTGGAAAAGTAATATTAATTCAATGTTCAAAAATAAATACAGAACTTTGTGTTTAAATGTTTGTAGTAATAATTGCCTTTGAAATCTTATTGTCTCGTTCTTTTATTTTTTGTAGTGCTTGAAGATTTCAATGCACAAAGTTCTGTAGAAATGCATTACAAAAGTTAACAAATTTACATAGCAAAGAACTATGATCTATATAGAAAAATACATGAAGTACATGAAGTATACGTTTTACCCTTTTTTATGTCGGTGAAAATAATTAAATATTAACCTCTCCTTCTGGCCTCCATCTTCATCATGTTTGTTAATGTCTTTAATTCATTGTATGCCAGCTTCCAATCAATGCCCATCTTTCTGGTGTTTGCCCTCAACACTATATCCTCCATGTTGGTTATGCCCTCTTGTAACCCTGTAACAGTAAATTAGCTTTATGGAAAACTTTGATGAATATTTTTCATCATCAAATTAATTCTACACTAGGACCTTTGATCAAATAAGTCTCAATCCCAATAATAATTTTTTTTTTTTTTTTTTTTTTTTTTTTTTTACAATCTTATGTAGTAAATAAGAACGCATTTAATAGGCACCCTTATCACGATATAGGGCCTTAATTAAAATGTAAGTCATCAGACCTCTTACCTAATTCATGACATTTGATCATCCAGAGGCTGTCTGTAGCACACAAAAACCTCCATCTCCGACAAACCTGTTGGAAAATCAGAAATTTAATACAGCAATAAGAAATTTATAATGCCAAGTAAAATCAACCATATTTAAGTAAAAAAAAAAAACCCTGCATCAATCCTACCTGAGCTGAAATGGCAACATCTCTTGGCATGAGTAAGGAGAAGATATAGAGGAGAATCTTATCTGACAGTCTGTTGATGTCCCTAGCTCCTCTCAGTCTGAAAATGTGAAAAAAATAATTAGAAAAAATTATTCTTTATGCAATATGCACGAAAACTAAAATTGATGGTTTAATGCAATTAACATATATTCTTAAGGAAGTGCATATAGGTATATTACTTCAATCTGGAATGTTTCATAAAAGTAAAAGTAACATTTTTTTTTCACCTTTGTTGTATATGATGATACATGGCATTTAATACCCCTGATCCTGCAATCTTCAGAATTTCCTTTAATAAACTTATCTTCTCATAGTCCTCCCACATCTCAAGCCACTGAAAATACAAATCAAATTACAATATCATTTTTACTCTAAAGCCTTGCGTTTCAAAAAGCATTTTTTTTACCACACTAGTATAGTACTGATCCATGAATATAGCAAAGTAGAAAATTTGATAACAAAATTGCAAATTAAATTGTAGATAATTGAACAACATTAAATGTCAATATACATTATAAAACAAGAGGCCCACGGGCCTTATAGGTCACCTGAGTATTGTGTAACAACTTTCAAACAATTAAATTTGGTTCGTGTTTAAACCGGAGGCCATGCAATTCACAATTTACAATTTAGAAAGAGGCACCATTGCTTATCATAGTTATTAACTTAGCATGCTTACTCTATTTACTTAATACCCAGAGGTAGATCAGAGTAACAAAGAGAAAATGCACTTCCACTTTATAACCAGTTGTGCACCTCACCCCAAAGGAACCACTGACCCAGGGCCATATATTTCAAAATTTTGCAAATTTTATCATAAAATGGTTGATTAATACCAAAGAGCAGATTTCAAAGCATTAATTTATTTTCAGGCTATGTAACCACCCCCCCCCCCCCCCTTTGACCCTCGGGGCATTAAAAACCACTTTGCTAGATGCACCTTTCTTCAGCATAAATATATATATACTTGGATCATTGGCTTAAAACCCAGAAGCAAAGAAAAATATTTACAAAGAATAAATGTATTTTTATTATATAATCAATAGAGCCCCGACTTAACACCAGAACCCCTGACTCTGGGGCCATAAAATTCACAATTTTGGAAGAGGCACTCTTGCTCATCATAACTATGTGCTTAGTTAGTTAATCTAATACCCAGGAGCAGAGAAGAAGATTTTTAAAGAAATAATGCATTTTCACTATATAATCTATAGAGCCCCGCCCTAACACCAGAACCCTTGACCCTGGGGCCATAAAATTCACAATTTTGAAAGAGGCACTCTTGCTCATCATAACTATGTGCTTATTTAGTGTATTTAATACCCAGGAGCAGAGAAGAAGATTTTCAAAGAAATAATGCATTTTCACTATATAATCTATAGAGCCCCGCCCTAACACCAGAACCCCTGACCCTGGGGCCATAAAATTCACAATTTTGAAAGAGGCACTCTTGCTCATCATAACTATGTGCTTATTTAGTGTATTTAATACCCAGGAGCAGAGAAGAAGATTTTCAAAGAAATAATGCATTTTCACTATATAATCTATAGAGCCCCGCCCTAACACCAGAACCCCTGACCCTGTGGCCATAAAATTCACAATTTTGAAAGAGGCACTCTTGCTCATCATAACTATGTGCTTAATTTGTTTATTAAATACCCAGAAGCAAAGAAAAATATTTACAAAGAATAAATGTATTTTTATTATATAATCAATAGAGCCCCGACTTAACACCAGAACCCCTGACTCTGGGGCCATAAAATTCACAATTTTGGAAGAGGCACTCTTGCTCATCATAACTATGTGCTTAGTTAGTTAATCTAATACCCAGGAGCAGAGAAGAAGATTTTTAAAGAAATAATGCATTTTCACTATATAATCTATAGAGCCCCGCCCCAGCACTAGAACCCCTGACCCTGGGGCCATGAATTTCACAATTTTGGTAGAGGACTCAATGCTCATTACATTCATGCCAATAGTTTGCCTGCTTGATGTCCAGGAGTAAAGAAGAAGATTTTTAAAGATTTCATTAATTTTAGTGGTTTTGGCCCCACCCCTCAGGCCCCAGGGGGGCGGGGACCATGAAATTCACAATTTTTGTTCCCCTCCACCCATAGATGCTGTATACCAAATTCGGTTGAAATTGATTTAGTGGTTTCAGAGAAGAAGCTGAAAATGTTCAAATGTTAACACACGACACACGATGCACGACGGACGATGACAGACGAAAACGGATAGCAATAGGTCACCGGAGTTACTCAGGTGACCTAATAATAATACCATCCCCTCCCTCTGTGACCCCCCCCCCCTTCCAAAAAAGGGCAAAATGGAATTTTATGAAAGAATTTACCATAGTCTGATTACTGTAAAAATTCTAAATATGATGGACACCTGCTAATTTGACACATTCTTTACATATGTGATCAGTATATTTACACTCCAAATTTTGAGGAGCTGCTCCTTGAAGTGAGCAATGAGGTCATTCTTCTTGGCTTTCAGGAAGACCATTCCCTCATGAGGCTGTTCTGTCCACCCCCTGACTCCCTTGAATGACCGCTGTAGAGAAATGGGAACATCCTGCAGATATCTGGGCTTTTTTACTTGACCAAATCGGATTTCTTTCTGCATGGATCCTTCAAACCATAAAGTCAGCATGAACAGCATTGAAACACATTTAAGATTTAATGATGAAAAAGAAACATTGCAAATTTAAACAATGCACAATACATCTTTATTTACTTTGAATGGTAAGGATTTAAGTCATAATTAGAACTTAAATACAATGAACAATTTACTACTTCTTACAAAAGATTTTTGAATATTTGATAAACATTTTGGGTTTTCTATAGTGTACCTTCTCTAGCTAGTCCTCGTTTGGAGAAGAAGTCTGGGGTACTTAGACTTGTTGGGGCTCCGTAAAACTCATACCTCAGTTTGGACACACTTTTTTGTGAAATATTAGACAGACTCCTTGTCACCTCTGTCCCAGGTTTTGGCAGCTCAGTTTTCCCCACCATAGATCTAATACCAGGAGTAATGATGCGGAACTCCCTGCCTGGGGGTGGAATGAGACTCAGGTCCGATTTCCTTCGAGTCTGAAGTGATTGGCTCCTCCGTAAACTGGACCTCCTGGATTCTACCTTCTCCTCTTCAGTGAACATTGTGTTTTCTCTGTTCACAAACTTCTGAAGTATAGCCACTTCCTCCATGGCACTCTGCATGATGGTGCTAGCCAAATTTTCGGCAAAGTTTTGAACAGGGGACAGTTCTGTCTTCTCTGAAAAAATAACTCTCTCCTGAATGACTCCCAGTTTTTCAGTGAAAACATTTCCTGTGTTCCCCTCCTTGTTGGTGGATGAGGGTACTGAACTAACGGCTGAATCTGACATCAAATCTTCTTGGTCGTACTTGAGTGAATTGACTGTTGAAACATCTTTTTTGGGAGTTCCAAGCAAAGCTTTCTCATCATACATGCTAGCGATAGTGTACACACTGTTGTTGTCACTTCTCTGTGACTGTTGGCTGCCTGTTTTGGAGGGAGTCTTGCTTTCTTCAATGTCAGACCTGGTTTTGGAGTTCATGAACGGAGACAGTGGGTAGCGGAGTTTGTAGGCAGCTGCATAGTCTCTGTGTTTGACTGGTTCCAGTGTGGTAGCTAAAATGTCCAGCTGTCTGGTACTGCACCTTTATGTCAGAAATATTCTTTTAATGCTAATACAGTTCATAAATTATAAATCATAAATTCTCCTTCTAGAAAACAGGCATATAGTTTTACCTCTTTAATTTCTTTGTGAATCACAGTTAAAGTAGTGAGATGATGCAAGTTAAATTTCCCATACACTCTTATAATACTTTCACCTATTCTTATTTTGAATTATGAAATTATTACCTGTCCACAATACCATACAGTAGAGTCTTTTGTTGCCATGGCCTCCAGGAATCAAACCAATCACAGATAGTCTTGTAAATTTGCTGGTTGTTAAACTTGGAGTAGTTTTGCACACCCACAGAGGAGTCTGATTTTATTGGTGGCAGGTAAACCACTCCCTCAAAGTTCCCATACCTCAGTCCCTCTGGAGCAGCCTTCAGGGAGTGACTCCTGGTTAGATTGATGGGGACAATGGTGCTTGGCATTATGCCTGTCCAAAGATAAGAAAAAAAAATATCTCTTGTAGTGAACTGTGCAAAAATGCTTTAAAATAGTCTCTGACTGAATGTAAGACACCACAGGCAAAAGACAACTTGGCCAACAGACAATGACACTTTGACAACATATCGTGAGGTGTTTAAAGTTGTAGAATAATTATTAGGAAAACAAAACTGTCAAGACGGTTTCATCGTCAGACATATTATGCATATCATTTTTATTATATGTTCTATTGCAATTATTGCTGAAATCAATGAAATGGCACAGAATTTTTCTCCAATTAATCAGGAATGTCATCAAAAAATTATCAGATCAGAAGCATGTATGTATGAAACCAGTATAGTTAAAATGAACATATTACTTTGCAAAATCTAGTACTTATTTAGATCACATGGATGTGTTGTCTCTCGCAGTCTAAAGCATCCTAATTCACTTCTCTACAGAGGAAACAATTAGTCATATCTTAGAGCTGTTAGTACAGAATAAATTAAAAGTCCTTGTAGTCGTGAATGACACAGGATAACCTCCTTGGTCTTGGCTAACACCTTGGCCATTATTTTTTCAAATAATATTTCTCAACATCGGATGTTATCCTGCATCATTCATGAAAACACAGACTTTAATTCTAAAATAATTACTTAGCCTGAACATTGAGCATAAATTATTGAATGCAATTTTGTGGTCACGGGCACAGTCAATAAATGTGTTATCTTGTTTATTAATTCTACCATAAACCATTTTTATGAAAACTGCATATTAAAAAATTAGCTATTAAAGCTATATGGCTTAATCAAAAGATTGACGTGGACCTGATATACCTGCAAGTGCCCGCAAGGCTAAAGGGCATGTGCATTGTGGAATGTAACAGTCTTTATATGCAAATAAATTACCAGATATCATCTTATTTTAGTTGTTAATTCAATTAACAACATTCAAACAAATTGTTTCCCATGCGAAATTGATAAAATACTGACTTAACCGTGTATTAGATGCTCCAATACCAGACTGTTTATAATCTAGTCCGCCATCTTTGATGTTTCCAACGAGAGTTTTTTTCGGAACATATCTCGAGTTTTCATAATAACTATCTATGCCGATGTCTTGTATCATTAAATTCTGTTAAAAAACGAAAATCATATATTCTTATCAATTTACATAGTAAAAGCTGATGATTAAAACATGTGTTAAGCGCTTTAGTTTTAAAAGAGAGAATAAAAATCACTTAAAAAGTGAAACAAAATACAGCGCGAAATTTGAAATTGAATTTGTTGCCACCCCGATCCCGAACAAAAATGAAAGTAGAAGCTGGGGCTACATCAATGTCTGAAGAATTAAGCGCTGCAGCTACAGAACAAGGATTCGATTCTTCAGATGATGATTCTGGAGAAGTTGATTTATCACCGCTGGACATTTCATGGTTTATAAAAGATTATTATTCCTATTCTGTACCTCATTAACCATGTTAACGATAATATGATATCAAACAAGATGTGTGGGTTTCAGCACACCACAAATATCTAATATTTATTCAGTATGATATAATATCTCATAGTCTTTTGAATTCTCTATATGATTTATATGCCGATTGTAAGATTTTTTATATTCATTATTGAACAATCTGCTTTCAGGCTTTGTTATCTGCAATCCATTGGCACTCACAAAGACAAATCCTGCATGTTTTTAATGAAATTTTTTTTATACTCTCTGCAGGCTAGATCTGACATGTTATGGATTTGAATCTCCAGTTGGAATCACATCCTTACCTGGTATGTCACAGTGCTCATTCAATACATCCCTTGACATAAAATATTAATAGGCACTCTTTTTGCATATTCTTTATTTGATCTTTATGAATGTTAACATGTTGATGGAGGTCATGGATTTATGAGATCTAGTGTAGTAGCAACTGTTTAAGGGACACAGTAGAAATTTCTAATCAAATACTGTAATATAGTGGGAGTCAAACCTTCATAATATCTCAAACTCAATGGGATCAAGAAAATATAAATTAAGTTCCATATGAGATATCAGATTTGAGCTATTGAGGGTAAAAATTCAATAGGCCTACTGAAAGAAATGGAGACTTCTAAATTATTTTGAAATTCATATATTCATGGTGTAACACTTTGGTATCTCAAACATCTTTTTTGAGATACTGAGGTCTAGAGACCAATATCTCTCTGTATATATTTTGTATAAAAGTGTTACAAGTAGTGAGTTTAACACCTTTCATGACACAGTATAATTCAAACCATTTTTTTTTTATTTCTATAGGATGTCGTTTCAAGGATGTGTGGAGATCTCTGGAGAATGACATAAGTATTTATCCTTTATATTGTTTCTAATCACTCTCATATAAACATAAGATACACACTTGAGCAACTAGCTTCTCCCAGTGTATATCCCCTTTTGTTTCTTCCACTAGTCAGATCTAATTTACTTCTCCCTATCCTCCTTCTTTTAGATGTCCTCTCTTTTCATCTACATTTTCTCCCTCCCCTCCTTTTCTCCCATCTTCAAACATTTCCCCTTCTTTTTACCTCCTCTGCCCTGTCCTACTCCCTAGCTCCCAAAACTTTGTTTTGCAATCCCCCCCCCCCATGAGTCTGTAACTTAACTGTTACTTGATCTCAAAGCTTGCAAAATTGAACTTGTTTATTGTTGTTACCTCAATTTTGGTTTAATATTTTACTCACTACATGATGCATGAATAGGATTAAACAGCGGGCATAAATACCTTTTATCATTCTCTCTATTTATCTCATATTTAGTAACTATGAAGACAAAGCCTGTCGTCCAGAAATCAGTATTTCTCTACATGTGAGTTTAACATCTATTTCAGAGTGTTTGGTCTCCGAGGAGGTGCAGGATGTTTACTGTTTGTGTAGTAAGGGGGAGCTGACCAAGTACCGCGTCCAGTGGCTACTCCACGAGTTATCGGGAGCTGGCTTTACCGTCCACCATTTCCCGTTTCCAGACGGTCAGCCCCCGACCACGGCTCAACTGATGAAGATCATAGAAGAACTCAAGATCAGTCTTAACAACAAGAGGAAATCCATCATACAGTAAGATTTAAAAGAAGATCCTTTTTTGTGTGTTTTGTGGAAAAATCCTCAAATATTATAGATATTATACATAGCATTGTCAAGCAATGTGGCAGTGTGATATTGCTCACTTTTAATTGAAAGGTTGCTTAAATGACCTACATTTTAAGATTTATGTCTGTCCCAATATAAAAGAAGTGTATATTAATAAGCCTTTCATAGCAGTTTTGCTCCTACTTACTGTGTCAATGATTGTGATACTGTAGACGTACTTTTTTTCCACGAGGTCATAATTCCGCGGAAACTCAATTTCTGTTTAATCCGCGGGTAGAAAATTACGCGGATTTCTAGAATGTCACTATATGCCTTACATTTATATCAAGTACACTTGGACAAATTTCTGCTGAAAATTTTTGACCGCGTACATAGCGTAAATTAATACAACGTGGAAAAAAGTACTTCTACAGTATTTACCTGATCACTGATTGCACTTTTTTTTATTTTCAGTTGCTATGGAGGATTGGGAAGATCTTGTGTAGGTAAGATGTGAAATAAGTCAAGCTCTTTTAATAGCATTTCATTTTATTTTACATGCCCTCTATGAATATGGCCAGGGAACATAGTTTTCGACATGTCTGACTTCCACATCCCTTTGTCCACCCATCAAACTTTGCATTTAGCTCAGTTTCAAAGAACTTTTCAAGATATTCTTATCAAACTTCATAAGCTGAACTGCATGAAGTTTTTTTAACCCCAACATATCTATGACCTTATTAGATGTGCCTATTTTTATGCCCTCCCTTGAAGAAGAGAGAGCATATTGCTTTGCTGCTGTCAGTCGATCTGTCTGTTGGTCCACCATCAGTTTCCTTTGATTTTCTTCACAGAGGTTGCACATATTGAAATGAAATTTGACATACAGATTTATCAGAAGAATATGTAGATCAGCTTTTGGTTTGGGTATGATTGGGCCATTTTGGACAGAGTTATGCCTCTTGGACTTAGAAAAATTCCAATTATTTGCAGTTTTCATTCATTCTCTTTGCAGAGGTTGCACATATTGAAATGAAATTTGGTATACAGATTTATCCTAAGATTATCTAGGCCAAATTATGTTTTGGCTACATTTGAGCCATTTTTGACAGAGTTATGTCCCATGGACGTAGAAAAATTCCAATTATTTTGGGGAGGAGGCATAAGTGTTTTACAAACATCTCTTGTTTTGTTTTGTTTTATATCTAAACCTTCCCAGTGACTTTACATGTATGTAAAACTCAGGGTACAATTTGATTAAAGCTATTCAATTGAGTCATATATATACACTGTAATTTTTTCCATAACCTTACCTGTGACCTTGGCCTTATTATACCCCTTTTACTCCAGTTTTAAACAGAGAAAAATTTTATTTTTTTTTTTTGTTTGCAGACTAAAAATTGCAATTGAGATTGTTTATTACTAATATTTTCTTTTAGATCATGTTTTCCTGTTAACTTTTATGTTTCAATATTTCAGTGGGTGCCTGTTTTTTGTTATCACTGGATTCTGAGATTACCCCAGAGAAGGCAATAGAGAAAATGAAAGAACTGAGAGGACCAAGAGCTGTTCAGACTGTTAAGGTATGTTTTTTATTTAATTGTTTTGTGGTTGTTGTTTTTATGCGCCCGGATCGATAGATCCGAGGCGTATATTGTTTTTGTCCTGTCTGTTTGTCTGTTTTTTTTGTTTTGTTTTTGTTTTTGACTGTAACCTATATGCTAAAAATAGATTTTACACAATTTTCGCCATACTTTTGAATGAGAAATAGAGACTTCATATTTGGTGTGCATACTCCACTAATGAAGTTCTTCAAATGACACCAAGGTCAATGACCTTGTGACCTTGACTTTCACTTATCTGCTGAAAATAGTTTTTTTAAACTTTGTTGCCGCCGGGCGCATAGTGTTTCACAAACACATCTTGTTTTGTTTCTTTTTTGTTTTGTTTTTGTTTTTGGAGGGGGGGTCCTCAAAGTATCATCTGTAAATATGTTGCAGAAAAAAACTGGGGAAGGGAGGCATATATAAACCATGGTGACCATCTTTATCCTTCGTTTCATTCCCTTGTATGTCATGGAACGAAAAGTTTTCAATGGAGAAACATTTAAGTTCCTACACAGCGCAAAAGTTGCTTACGATCTTAGATTTTCCAGGAAAATTTTGAAGTTTCCAGTAATCAAAAAATTAGCATTCTTGTGTAGGTCATAGCTTTGTAATTCAGAAAAAACAGAGGCCAAAAACAAAGGTTGCTCTTGACCTCAGAGAGTGCTGTGCCCTTAGCCAAAGTCATTTGGAAAAGGTCAAAGTTATTGGATTCTTGTCTAGGTTGACACTTTCTTTGGCAAAGGTATCAGGCTCTGGGGCCATAAAACTTAAGTGAGCTCTTTTTTGATCATAGTCTCGGCACTTTTACCAATAAAAGGAGTAAATAAAGGAAAAGTGAGCTTGGGTACAAAAGTGAGCTCATCTAAGTTTAATAGCCCCTGGGACTGATCCTCAAACAAGACAGAAAAAGACCTTATAGTCCACCCTTATAGCGTGTATTGACGCTGAACAAAGAACGAGGTCATTGGTTAAGAAGTGAAAAGTCTGCCTCTTTAATTGGAGAAGCTCACAAAGATTGTCTTTTGACAGAAGATGTCAGTTGGGGCATGTGGAAAGGGGGGGGGGGTATTTTATGTTTACAAATATTCTTGAATTTTATTGTATTTAAGACTATCACAAGATCAACAACATTTACCATGAAGAACATTAAATAAGATTAAATGACACTCATATTTCAGCAATTTAACTTCATCAACGAGTTTCCACAAACCTTAGCAGATTTCCAGAGGGAATCAGAAGACATGGAAATAAAGGGGAGATCTTTGTCAAGATGAATTTAAGCTTTGTTCTATAAAGTAACACGTGCACTTAGTGATAACTTTGTACTTTACAGTAATTGCAGTATACTTAATGACAACTTTGTATTGTTATTATTGATCCTAGTCAATGTACATTTCTACTAGATATCGTGATTGGAATATTTTTAGCTCACCTCAACGAAGTTGGGGGAGCTTATGTAATACCCTCGGCGTCGGCGTCGGTGTCGGCGTCGGTGTCGGCGTCCCGGGTTAAGGTTAAGTTTTTTGGAGCAGTTTTCTTTTTAAGTACTTTTATGTCCTATATTGATTAGACATGCATGGAAGATGGTCCCTAGTGTGTTTCATTGTACCAGTCAAAGTTTCAGATGCTGCAATTTTAGCAAAGGAATGACCAGGTTAATGTTTTTGGAGCAGGTTAACATTTTTGGTGCAGTTTTAGGTGTAGGTTTCATTTCCAAGTAACTATAAGCCCTATGTTAACCAAACTTGCATGGATGATACATCTAAGGATGCATACTACCGGGCTTGCTTCGGATGCTGAATCTGACCTACTTTTTCCGGTTGAGTGAACAGGTTAAAGTTTTTTGGTGCAGGTTTCATTTCCAAGTATCTGTAAGTCCTATGTTGACCAAACTTGCATGGATGATACATCTAAGGATGGATACAACCAGGCTTGCTTTGGATGCTGAATCTGACCTATATTTTCCGGTTGAGTGAACAGGTTAAAGTTTTTGGTGCAGGTTTCATTTCCAAGTATCTGTAAGTCCTATGTTGACCAAACTTGCATGGATGATACATCTAAGGATGGATACTACCGGGCTTGCTTCGGATGCTGAATCTGACCTGCATTTTCCGGTTGAGTGAACAGGTTAAAGTTTTTGGTGCAGGTTTCATTTCCAAGTAACTATAAGCCCTATGTTGACCAAACTTGCATGGATGATACATCTAAGGATAGATACTACCGGGCTTGCTTCGGATGCTGAATCTGACCTACATTTTCCAGTTGAGTGAACAGGTTAAAGTGTTTGGAGCAGGTTTCATTTGCAAGTAACTTTAAGCCCTATGTTGACCAAACTTGCATGGATGATAAATCTAAGGATGCACACTACCGGGCTTGCTTCGGATGCTGAATCTGACCTACATTTTCCAATTGAGTGAACAAGTTTTTGGTGCAGGTTTCATTTCCAAGTAACTATGAGTTCTTTAATGACCAATCTTGCATGGATGATACATCTTAGGATGCACACTACCGGGCTTGCTTCGGATGCTGAATCTGACCTACATTTTGTGGATGAGTGAAAATATAAGTTTTTGATGTATGTTTCATTTCCAATTAACTATGAGCCTTATAATGTGCAAACTTGCATGGACGATACATCTTAGGATGCACACTAATGGACTTGCTTCGGATGCTGAATTCGACATATATATTTTTCAGATAATAGACCAGGTTAAAGTTATGGTTGCAGGTCTATTACCAAAAAAATTTAAGGCTTTTATAACATTGTATAAACCAAACTTGCAAAAATGTTGCATCAAGAGATGAAAACTCAAATTTGCTTTAGATGCTGAATTACATTTTTATGAAGAAGAACTACTTTAAATTTTTTATGTTGGTCTACTTCAAAGTATCAGATCAAAATTGCTTAGATATTTTCATTTTTGGAATGTACATTTTTTGTTGGTTAATTGTGTGACTTTGCCTTATTTAAAGACAACATTCGTTGAGGTGAGCTCTGTAATCTCTGATTACCTATGTTTTACATAATTATTTAATGGTATTACAAACATTTTATCATATATACTTAATATATATACTAGTACTGTATAAAATACTTAATATTATCTTTTGTAAATAATTTATTTAAGCTCACTACCTAAGAAGATAAGTTCAAAATTGTCATTTATGATTAGTGTATTTCTAAATGCTTTTAAATATATACATGTATTAAACTTGCAAGAAATTGACTTTTTATCATTGTATAATCAAATGATCAAAGTACAACACCATTCATCTTCCTGAAGATGATTTGGTTATTGCATAAAACTCTGGGGGTCAAAAGGACATTTTTTAACTACGAAAAACGAAATGTGTTTGTAAAACACTGATGCCCCCATATGGCAGCTTCTGGTGAGGGTTGAATTTTCTCTGATGCAAGTCAAACTCCAAAGGACAAGGTCAAAATTGTTGGTACCCAAAGAAAGGTCTTGTCACAAGGAATACACCTGCGAAATAGGAAAGCCCCAGTTCTAACGATTCCTTGTTCGCGCTGAGTGGATTCGCCATAATTGGGTTTTCATTATATAATGTCTGCTTACTTAACCACTTGACAGGTGATTGTTTGATCAGTAGACTAGGGAAATATTAAATTTATTTCTTCATTTATTATAATTATTATAAAATGAAAAAAAAAACATGCATGTTTTTAGCTTTCCTGGACTAGTGGTTCTTTAGAAGATATTTAGCTCAAGTGAGCTATTCTGATCACAATTTGTAGTCCGTCTGTCTAACTGTCTGTCCATCTTTAAACTTTTCACATTTTTCAACTTCTCCCCCAGAACCGCTGGGCCAAATTTTAACCAAACTTGCCACAAAATATCCTTGGGTGAAGGGGATTTAAGTTTGTTCAAATAAAGGGCCACACCCTTATTCAAGGGGAGATAATTAAGAAATAGTGAAAATTTGGTGACATGTTTTAAAAATCTTCTTCTTAAGAACCACTGGGTAGGGAAAGATGAAACTAATGTGGAAGCATCCACAAATAGTGTAGATTCAAGTTTGTTCAAATCATGACCCCGGGGTTGGGTGAGGCCATAATGGACGACCAAAGTTTTACATAGGAATACATAGGAAAAATCTTCTCAAGAATAACAAAGCCATGATTGGTCATATTTATATGGAGGCATCTGCAGGTAGCGTAAATTCAAGTTCATATCATAACCCCCAGGGTTGGGTGGGGCCGCAATGGACAACCAAAGTTTTACATTGAAAAAATCTTTAAAAATCTTCTTCTCAGGGACAACAAGGCCATGATTGGTCATTTTTATACAGGGAAGTGTCCTCAGGTAGTGTTTATTCAAGTTTGTTCAAATCATGACCACAGGGGGATATCTTGGAGCAAAAATGAAAGTTCAAACATATAGGGAAAAAAGCCACAGTAAGTCAAAGAAATATGTAAACTTTCTTTTTATAGATTCAAGTTAATTCAAATCATCCCCCCTTATACCTTTTAGGGGTAGGTTGGGACCACATGCATTTCAGCTTTTCAAAACTGGATTGATTTTTGCTTTTTTCCTAGCCATAGTGCTTAGGTCATGCAGTGATGTGGTCCATGGGCCTCTTGTTTGACAGGTCTGCCCAAGCTTTGTATTCAAATACTACTTCCGAGACTCATCTGCGAAAAATTTTTGATATTGTTGGTTGACTTTACTATTTTGGGAAAATAGCCCACAAAAACGAAAAACGGAAAAATATTATTTAGGGTTGGACGAAGGAAACGAGTATATTCTTTAAGCTAAGTTTGGTTAACATTGGCCCAGTGGTTCTTGAAAAAAAGTTGGAAGATGTGAATCAGTGTTTTCCCTAAGAACCGGCTACCAGCCACATTGACTGCTTCAATTGACAAAAATGCCACTATGAAATAAAAATTTGTTGTTAGTTCCACAGAGAATTTGTTCATAAACCTCAGCCCCTAACCTGTTACAACTGATCTCTAACCCTTTACTTTAAAATAAAGGGAAAACACTGGTTAATAGATTGGTGATCAAGCAAATTCAAAGAATTGTGGTCCCCCGCTTTTGGTGTCTTTGTGGGAGAGATGTTATTTTTTATGACATATTGTGTCTAATATGAACACCCTATCACATGTCATTTATTTAGGAATTATCACTGAAGTTGATTTTTTTTTAAAATAAGGTCAAATAAGGTCAACCGTGAAGGTCAAGGTCAAGGGGTAAGAAATCGTAGCATGCTCGGAATTACTGTAAACCAACTTTTATTCGCGAGGACTTTATTTCGCGATTTGCCAGGGGTAAACCAGTTCGCGACGATTAATTTTCGTGATAAAGCCTACTTAGGTTTCTTTTTTATAGACGCATAGACTCCAAGAACCAGTTTGCGGCGAGAAATATTCGCGATGACTAGACTCTCGCGAACTTCGCGAAAATTTCTCGCACGCGAATAAAAGTTGGTTTACAGTATCTTGTGACTATGTCACAGGTAATGCACATGTCAAGTATGAAAGACCTACATGTATCTCTTCTCAATATATTAGGAACAAGATGTGTTTGTTAAACACTGATGACCCCGTATGGCAACATAACGAAGATTAAACTTTTCTTAAACGCAAATTAAATATATTATTACCCAAAGTAGGGTTTTTAGCTCACCTCAACGAAGTTGGGGGAGCTTATGTAATACCCTCGATGTCAGCGTCCCAGGTTAAGTTTTTTGGAGCAGTTTTCTTTTTAAGTACTTCTATGTCCTATATTGATTAGACATGCATGGAAGATGCTTCTAATGTGTTTCATTGTACCAGTCAAAGTTTCAGATGCTGTAATTTTAGCAAAGGAATGACCAGGTTAATGTTTTTGGAGCAGGTTAACATTTTTGGTGTAGTTTTTGGTGTAGGTCTCATTTCCAAGGAACTATAAGCCGTATGTTGACCAAACTTGCATGGATGATACATCTAAGGATGCACACTACCAGGCTTGCTTCGGATGCTGAATCTGACCTACATTTTCCACATGAGTGAACAGGTTAATGTTTTTGTTGCAGGTTTCATGCTTCGGATGCTGAACCTGACCTACATTTTTATCTGGATGAGTGAAGAGGTTAAATTTTAATGCAGCTTTCATTTCTAAGTAAATATTAGCCCTATGTTGTGCAAACTCGCATGGATGATACATATGAGGATGCTCCGAAAGCTGAATTCGACATACATTTTCCAGATAATGGACCAGATAAAAGTTATCGGTGCAGATCTATTACCAAGAAACTATAAGGCTTATATAAACCAAACATGCCCAAATGATGCATCAAGGGATGAAAACTCTCAAACTTTTTTCAGATGCTGGACTTTAATCACATTTTTGTGATGAAAAACTAGCTTTTAAATATAGGTCTATTCCAAAGTATCAGATCAAAATTGCATACGTTTT